GTTCCGGAGATATTGGATGTTCCAACAGCTCTATTACTTTAGTATGTACCATTTCTATTAGTTTAAACAGTTGAACTAATAGTATCCTTCAGGTTGCCCTTTACATTTCACACACCCCTAATACTTTGTATCAGTGTGTGAGTGTTGGTGTATGCTGCAGTCTTTCACGGCGTTCATAAGTCGAAACTGTGTGACAACTGCCAAACATATGCATCCATACAAAATGCACAAAAAGGTATACGTAGTTTCCACACGTAGGGAAACTCCTTTGATTCATGAGAACCACTGATTTTCAGCTTAGGTCGTATTTGGTCACCATAGTTTGAGGCCTATGTTTGTTTCTTTGTTTCTTTGTCGTTTGACGCTGCATTCAGCAATATTCCAGCTATATGAAGGTAGTCTGTAAATAATTCAGCCTGGACCAGACAATCCAGTGATTGGTGTCATGAGCGTCGACCCCCCCGATCCCATGAGTCGCCTCTTACGACAAGCATAGTTGCCTCCTACGACAAGCATAGGTTGCTGAAGACCTATTCTAATCCTGATCTGCACGGAGCTTGAGACCAGTAAGGATGGACGTTAACCCCGACCCTGCTCCAGTTGACCAGGTTTTCATTTGTTCAGCGCTTTGGCCAAACCCTTGATCAATGGTATTCCATACTATTGTGATGACAAAGGGACAGTTCTGGGATTCCGACCCACGATCCGCGGATCCTGGCACGACAAAGGGAAGTAGCTCTGCAGAGTAGGCTGACAAAGGCTGTTCACTTGTTTCCCTCATTCGAATATTTCCATGTTCAAAAGTATAATGTATCACTGTTTCTATTACAAAACACATTCGGTGTACCAAGACAAAGTTTATTATGATAAAGAACTAAAATTTGGCAACAAGTGTTTAAACAGTCACACAATTTGAGCATCAAAGTACGTCACAGGGTCCAAGGGAGACAACTGTGTGTCTCTGACAGAACTGCCCAATATGATATATTTAAACCGAATGTAACCTGTACTCTACATTATTTACAGAACAAGAAAACATGTTTGGCAAAACATCACTGCACTGTTCACTAAGAGAATTCAAATGCCGTAAAAAATATATTTACAGTTATGAAAAATCGCCATGAGATTAAATAAGAAAATACATAATGTAGTCAAATAATGAATCATAAACAATGAAAGCATCTCGTTTTAACATTATGACACCACTTAAAACCTTCGTCACCTCTCGCCCCTTTCCGACACCTTTTTTGAGAAGGTCGGCTTTTCCCGGAATGATACGAATGGTTACGAACGAGAAAACAATTTTGTAACATAGCTCGGAAAAAGTTCTTAAGAAAAATGGATACATGTATACAAATAATGTTATCTTTCATTACTAGGCTTCTATGAGCGCATGAGACCACAGAGAAAATATACAACACAATCTTGACAATACGTACTTTCTCATTTTGGCTTATTAAAAATATTTATTTCAGTCTGTTTGTTGTTGAACGCCGCATTCCAGCTATATGACGGCGGTCAATTGAGTCTGGGCTAGACAATCCAGTGACTGACATCATGAACATCGTTCTGCGCAATTAAACTCGATGACATGCATCAACCATCTCAGCGAGCCTGACCACCCGATCCCGTTTGTCTTTCTACATGCTTGGGTTGCTGAAGATCAGTTGTTAACCGGATCTTCACGGGTTGGTTATTTCAGTAAGCCAGGTTTTTATGTGGCTGATGCGATTGAGTATTGTATTGATATAATTATACAGTAAATATAATTAACTGAAAAGATTAGTATCACCAACGGTATTTCCCCACCTACTGTGATGAATATGGACTGAAACATCCATTTCACTGTGAAATGTCAACAAGTTCAGGGTATTAACCTGGATATATATTCTTTGTTTGTTTGTTTGTTATTTCACAGCGCATTCAGCAATATTCCAGCTATATGACAGCGGTCTGTAAATAATCAAGTCTGGACCAGACCTTCCAGTTCTTGACATCGTGCACATCGATCTACGCAGTTGAGATACAATGACATGCATCAGCCAAATCAGCGAGCCTTACCACCCGATCCCGTTAGTCTGGACATATATTCATTTTATAATGCTTCAATCATGCAAACGTTCTCAGAAGAGATAATAATATTGTCATGGAAACATGTTTACGTTGTAAAATGCTTTATAGGTTCAAACGATCGAAAAACACTGAAGATGTCCTCCGATTTTTAAGACTTATTTGCACATAGTTGTACGATGCCATGCTTTTTATACATTTTACTAAGTATGAATTTGGTAACGAGCCATATTAAGCAAATTCAATATACTATATTTCCTAGAGTGCACCCATCACGGTAATGTGTCTGCCAAGTTGTGATGTAAGCGACACAATGCCTTGGTAGCAATCTGAACTTAGTGACCATTCTTTGCAGTGTAGATAGTATGTATATACAGGGAAAGCGTGAAAGAACTATCACAGCGGTTTTATAAGAACATTTATGCATTTGAAACATACACCCAGTTACAAAATCAGAAGTAACTGAGATGGGCATTTTTAACCAGTCAATAATTTGCATATTTATATCAAGGATGCTCAAGTATATTCCAACACGTCCACATTCTTCCTTCTTAAAGACAACACAATCTGGACCTAGGAACTATGTGTATACGTATTTGAATCAGCACAAAGTCCGGGCTATAAATGTTCGTTATTTTTTAACGCAGAGGAGATCTCTTTCCACACAATACCATGGACGTGCGTCACGCGTTTCAACTTACATGTAACCGATTTTTAAAACGAAATAAAACAGATAGATAGTTGAAGTCTTGTAGGCTTGACACCTTAAACTTTAATAGTTTTCTTCCTTCTGACGTGGTTAGTTTAATACTTTAGAATCCAGCTTCATTCCATGAAACCTTGCCTGCGTCATACCCTCTTTGATTAACGTCATCTATCGATCATGGATACAATGTGCATAGGACGTGAGTGTGAATGATGTCTAATGTCAGTCAGCTATATCACGGCAGCCTGTAAATAATCGGAAAACATTTGCAGCCTGCAAACCAGTGACTGACAGCATGAGCATCGGTCCGCACCACCAGGTACGATGACTGGCAACCTGCAGACCCTGATCTCCCGATCGTCAGTTTAATCGGGTTTTACAAGCCCCCTTGAGCTTAAGGATAGACCGTCTGTCCGGAGAGCTGAAGGTCTGTGGTCGCTTCATACCAAAAGACGTTAAAATAGTGTACTTGTTGTTACCCTGCCTGGCGCTCGGCAATAATGGGATACAGCAAGGACTGGTCGGCCCGGTGTCAGTATACTAGATCAGAGAGGTTATCTTTGTTGTATACTGCGGCATTATCACACGCGATCTCCTTGAACGCGACATTAAGCCCTATTTCACCGTTACAAGCATGAGGTACCGGGGATCTGTTCTAACCCGAAGCCCCGACAGGGGTGACAGCATGTATCAGTATCAATGTGATAGAGTACCGTGTTTACCATGGTAACGTGCACACCGATTCATTACAAGGACATAGTGAAATATACAGTGTATTATACATATATAAAATATGCTCGTGCGAAATCATGGAATAGAACTCAAGTAATAATCACAATGTTCCGTAACGGTCAGTGTGAGCGCGTGGTTTAAAGGTAACTATCGAACACGTATTTAACGCGCTGCTTATCCCACAGAGAAGCATACAACTCTGTGACACGGTAAGGCCAAACCCAATTTTTTTTAAAAGTTCTGTTTCTGCGGTTTATTATACTTATTTTACACCAATAGTCTGTGAAGACTTAAAGATTTTTTATATTTATGTTTTTTGACCGAACTGATAATTCATATTGTGCGGCTCGTCCATTTGTACAAATACTTGAATATCAACGCCAATGACATTGTTAGGATGATCTTATGTTTAGCACATCATAGATTTTGTCATGATTATGTTACAACACCGCACATAATTGCATAGGGTCTAAAGATGACTCTTCTTATACGTTTATTCAATAGAAGCGACACGGTGCTAGAACAACTGATACAGCTGCTATTGGTGCGAATACATCCCCTTCAGGTTGATGTAGGCGAGATGGTGTTGTCTGTCCTTTACTGTACGTTACTGAATTCAAGCAAAAGTGAGTGAGCGAGTTTGGTTTTACGCCGGGGAACAACATTACGGCAGGGAACACCAGAAAATGGCTTCACATATTGTACCCATGTCAGGAATCGAACCCGGGTCTCCGGCGTGACGAGCGAACGCTTTAACCACTAGGCTTCCGGACCGCCCCTCAAGTATAGTTTTAATCCAGATTGTATATGTCTTTCGCATTCGCAAAACGTGATAACTTACAATTTGTTAAAATATTTCAAGGTGTCTAAAGAAACAACCCTTGTTACAAGGAATAGACGGTGTGTCAGCCACGAGGACATTGGTCTGCGATCACGAATGATTTCAAGGTTTGTCCAGACAAATTGATTGAGTGGAGTAAGTCACGCCGTCTTAAACAGCATTTCATTTATATCACGGAGTGTCAGCGACAAGTAGATGTCCACGGGGACACATTCACGGGCTAGATATACCATCTTGTCGTGAATGTCTGGTGTACCTACTATACTGGTCAACCTATACACATCTCTCCGGAAGGGTGACGTCATAGGTGGACCAGCGAGTGAGTGAGTTGTGTTTTACGCCGCTTTGGACAGTATTCCAGTCATACCACGGCGTTGTGGATCAGAATTCACGACGGCAAAGAAACCCAGTGCTGTTTTAGTCCTTGACAGCCAACTACATTTACAATCAATACAGGGGGCACGGGTGGCCCAGTCGTCTAAGGCGCCGCGATTCGCTGTGAAGAGTTGCGTCCCTTGGGTACGCCAGAAACCTATGATTGTGGGTTCGAATCCCGGTTCGCCCCGATTATGTTTCTAGGTTTGTCAGCACCATACCCGTGCTCGTGGGTTTCACCGAAGTGGTAAACGTCTGGAACAGCATCACTTCGGGCTTTCCTCCCACATTAAACTGACACGCCGCGATATGACTGGAATATTGTTAAAAGCGGCGTTAAACCCAACTCACTCACTCATTACAATCAATACATATCAATGGCATGACTTTTGAAATCTTGACAAAAGTAACAAATTCGAGTGTCACAGAGTATTATTTGAGAACAAGGTAGCTGTTCACCATCATATAGGAACGAGTTGATCCATGAATTGCTGCGTGGTAACATGCATTTCTGTTCCACCTTAGAACATCCCATCAATATGTTGGTTGACAAGGAATGGGCCAGCATGGATCTCGTAACATAAATATGAAAAAACACATCAGTTATCACATTGAATCACTTGAGCATGCGCAGTTCCAGCTCTTCTATTGTTTGACAACCACGTGACCATCTATGTTGCGTTTACATCTGGTAGAACATCATACTCCCTCTGCACTTTGTTCTTCCGGTGTTCATTATCTTGCATAGTGGAGATGCCCTTCCTCTGTTCCTGAACACACATGTCATACCCCTCGGACATCTGTGTGACCAGGTACTCGAACACTGCCTTCCAACACTCCCTCACCTCCTGAATGAACTCTTCGCCCAGCTCTTGTTCCCAAACTTCCAGCATGCACTTGGAGAACACGCCGAAGTAGTTGGTGTCGAAGCCGTCGAACAGCACGTGGGAGGCGCCGAGTGCCATCAGCTCGTGCTGAGTGACAGGTGCGAGGCACTCAAGGTTGTCCACGATGTTCTGAAGGACCTGCATGAATTTCTCAGCATGGTCCCGGAACTGAGGGCTCTTCCGAAGATCATCCACGTTGTACACACTGCAAGAAGATCAAATAGATATATCAGGCATCTTGTAATGAATTGGTTAGTGAAGAATTCAAGTAATCAAACCTGTTAGCCGAAGACTGAGTGAGTATGGTTTTACGCCGCTTTTAGCAATATTCCAGCAGTATCACGGCGGGGGACACCATAAATGGGCTTCACACATTGTACCCATGTCGGGAATCGAACCCGGGTCTTCGGCGGGACGAGCAAACGCTTTAACCACCAGGCTACCCGACCGCCCTGTTGGCCAAAGACCGACCTTGTTTGCGAGAGCGTTGTATGCAACTTAAGCTAAATTACTTTAGTTCGATGTCATATAAACTGCCGGGCACATGAAACTGATTAAACTACAAAATAACAAAAAAATATCGAAACGTTACTTTGCTTAAAATGTCGCCGAAACACTGCAAACGTACGTTCCACAACACAACTATCATACCCGTATCCAGTACATCATCATCGAATAACCCTCCCTGTTTGTTTCATTTTAGTCACCATAAAACATGGGTTCATACTTTCATTTTTCCCGGCAGTTTAGTTTAGACGGACGTTGCATGATATAACAAAACTCAACAAACCAATTGTTTGTTTGCTCATCCAGTGATGACATCATGAGCATCGATCTTCGCAATTGGGATCATACGATGACCTCCATCAACCAAGTCACCAAGTCTGACCACTCGATCCCGTTAGTCGCCTTTTACGGCAAACATGGATTGCTGAAGACCAATTCTGACCCGGATCTTCAACAAACTGATCGCGCTAATGGAAGAAAATGTTGTTTACTACCCCCCGTCTGGTGTCCATTTCCAACTTTGTTCTATTATAGAAAGAGTGTGACCTGAAATTTTGTTTCATTGTGGGTAATCATTAACTGTTAGTTTAATAAACGTTGGAAGAAATGTTATATTTGGGATAGCATTTCTTAGTAAAAATTCAAGTACTTTGGGGGGTTGAGTCCCATCCGGTATTCGAATCCACAATCAGAGTGAGGCACCTAATCGCCAGCACACAAAGTCAGCGATCTCACCCACTCAGCCACCAAGGTTTCCAAAAAAAATCGAAGTCCGACAACTGGTAGTCTAGAGCACGTACTTTGTGTACCCCTCTGATAGATTTAAATTGGCACGGCTCCCATGGCCGAAAACTATCAGTACACAACACCTTTAAATGAGAAAGTGTACATTTGGCATGGTGTATTCACAACGTAGGTACACGTTGACATTTGTGGGAGTTCAATGAAACTTGCTAGGCAGCTTGATCGCAGCCCCCCTTTAACTTCAATCACCATCACTCTATCACCTCATTACCCCACAGAGATGCTGAATTCAGGACACGCAAGATATTACGCCCAGGACATTAAATATTTACACTCCAGTGGTTGATATAGACTGTTTTCATATACCGCAACACGCGATCCTTGTCTCTAGTTCCTACCTCAAACCGTAAAGCCGACTTACGTCATGGTTATCTGGGACAAAGTAAATTGGCAACTTGTGGTTGTGGATGTATTATTCATCGCCGCGGGGTTCTGTGGCTGACACTGAGCTGATCTTGCCCAGGTGTTGAAGGTGAGGGCGGGTGCTTCTTTCGCTTCATTACCTGACAACTCGGCAAATCCGTTATTCTATATACATCATTCACCGGGGGTGCTTCTGTATCGTAAAATCGACAAAATACCATACAATTTCTACAATATGATATTTACGATACTGAAACACGAAGGTAACTTAAATAATCTTAGTTTAATATAATTACTTCCAATCAATACAGTAACTATAGAAAAAGGGTTTGAATACGACACTAAAGTAAAACCACACCGTTCTCCTACACTGATAACTTATTTGTAGCCATGACAGTTTACAGGAACCCATTCACTGGGAAACACTTATCTGCACTTGTTGGGGTTGACGAATGGAGCTTACTGAAAGTAGATGCTGTGAGGTGACTTCATTTGCATATTAATCGCATCGCGATTCAAATTTTTCCGAATTGGTTTATCGAATCGATAACGCTAATTAACGCTTTGCACTTATTGTGTAAGATACCAGACAGACAGGCGTGCTAAAGCCCAAAACAATAGTCTGATTAATGAAATGTGTTAGTGGCCGAGGCTACCAACAACTGTCAATGTCAGTGTGGTTTATGTCTATGAATTGTATTGTTTCAAGCCAGGTCATGGGTAATCAACTTTCCGATTAAAGATTATATAACAAGTTCTCTGTACCAGCCTCGCTGTGACAGCTATTTGAAAGCTCCTATTCACAAGAACAATAATTAACAGAGGGTGGTTTTAGACGCCCCCGAACTTTAACCGATACTGAGATAGTGAGAAAAACCCTTCCTATTAACACCCTTCTGAGTGATGGGGTAATGTATTGGTTAAAGCGTTCGCTCGTTACGCCGAACACCCGGGTTCGATTCGCCACATAGGTAAAATGTGTGAAAGCCATTTCTGGTGCCCCCCGCCGTAATGTTGCTGAAATATTGCTAAAGGCGGCGTAAAAACATACTCAATCACTACACTATTTCTACATTAAGCTGTGATTATGAATGAAAGTGTTAATTTCGCCAAGCAGCAGAGGAGGATCCCTTACTTGCACTCATCTTCTCGAGTCAAGGGCGTTAACTAATTATAAAAGTCCAGTTTCCACCCTTCCACCAGTTAAAGATGACTTGCACTATAGAGGCCTCCCCAAAGTTCACTACAGTAAACAGACACTGGCTACAGTCGTAGCTGCAATACCCCAGTCAGCGATGTGAGGTGGAATCCATTCATCACACTTATAGCCTATAATGTCCACGGCATACTGCCTATGGTGCTTAGGAATCACGGAAGAAAGTCATACACAATCATTTGGACCCGTCCGCAAGGATACCAAGCAGAACTAAATCATATTTACGAGCTATACAGTTCTATGTATGCCTACTGATAATGGCATCAATGCCCTGATTAAAGACGATTAATGAAATATTGCGGAAGTTGTCAAGTGCTTCCTGTTTTCATCATTTATCCCGGGATCTTTACACACAACAAAGTTGTCGATAAATACTGTCGGGTAATAACGAGAGTACCAAGGATACATCTAAAAGTCATATAACCAACACCATCACCCCTTGCAGTTGTTTAACATTCGCGTTGAAGGTACATGATTAGGATGTTGACGCCCTGGTAAAGCAAATATGATACGATCTTGGAAAGCAAATATGAGTTGAGTGGTAAGTGTTTGGTTTGTACCATATAACTCTGTTTGGTTGCTAAATCAATGAAACTGAAAACATTACGTGCATTTCGAAATTGATACGGCCTTAAATAAATAGTAAACTCGATGGCCTGGTCGTTCTATTATTAGCGAACGTGGCATCGGACAAGCTTCAGTATGCCAATCAAGGATGAGCTACCCACTAGCTACCCAAAAGTCCCCGAGAAGGGATAATACTTGTCACCCCAAGATATACTCCAAGTTGCACCTTCCTGTCATTTTATATCGTTTTTAGCACCCTTCTATACATCTAACAAACCACCTTAAAATCAATTTAATTATGGTTTTAACCTTTTGGTTTTGTCATAACAAGAACAAGAAAAAGTACATAAAAATGTCCCATTCTCCCACTGAGAACATAACTGGGCCATGCCCATGATTGAATTTACACAAATATTGTTTCTCCTAAACCAGATTAAGATAAAAGTCAAGTGCATTCAAGCGATTGTCTGCAATGTAACAGGCCTAAATAAGAATGTTAATTTGTGAAAAAAATACCGTATTCCTAATTACTTACTTTTGATGTCTTGAAAACCACATGCCCATTGATTTCCTTAATCACCGCAGTGCGTAGCGGTGACGTTCATGTCTTATACATCTACTTGTTGTTGATGGATATTGATTGTTTTAGAAGTATTCAGGGGGAGTTAAACAAGTTCATTGGTGTGGGTTTTTTTAGATTACCGTTTTACAAGTTCGTGCCTGTCTTCAGTGCCAGCTGATCACGAGACTGGGTGGCTTCTACACCTGAAGGTACAAGGCCACAGCTGGCAATCGATGTACTTTTATCAGCGCGTCTATGATCATCTTCCCGAGGCAAGATGTTCACTAGAGTTGCCAAGCGAAAACAACAAGGCTTTAGGCAATATTCCGGCGGGGGACACGAGAAATGGACAGGGATCTTCGGCGTGACGAGGCAACGTTTTAACCACTGGGCTATCCAACCTGAAACCCTAGATTGTCCTATGATCCATGTACGATTAATAATTTTACTAAATATTCAAACATATTACCTGAATTTTTCGAATAATTTCTTCACACCCGGTGCATCAATAAAGATACGAACGAATATTTCCGCTCCTATTCTGATGACATCACGTGACAATACCGGCCACGTGCTTCTGATGGTGTCTATTTGTGTATCACTGAAGTCACTTGTAACAACTTCCGGATCCGGTTCGACATGTGCATTTGGCACCACTGTGGGCTTGCTGTTCTCGCAACCCATAACAACGTCACTTCCGGTCACATGGCATCCCTAATAAACCCAGTCTCGACCTAAAAGAAAAGAAACAAATAAAAACATTTACAAATTGTCAACGTTATACCAGGCTCAAGATTTCAAGCTTTAAAAATCTGTTTTCTCGGATAATTAAGACAGGTTATTCCCTGGCTGTGACGTTGTATATTTATATTTTATATTCATATCACACGGAAATATATAAGTACATGTCCATTTTGGACCCTTGGAGATCCGGGTAGAGAATAGGTCTACAGCAACCCATGCTTGCCGTAACAGGCGACTGGGCGACTAACGGGATTAGGTTGTCAGGTTCGCTGACTTGGTTAATGTATGTCATCATATCCCAATTACGTAGATCGATGCTCATGATGTCAACCACTGGATTGTCTGGTCCAGACTCGATTATTTACAGACCTCCGTCATATAACTGGAATATTGCGAAGTGCGGCGTTAAACAACAAAGAAACAAACAAACAAAAACAAAACAAAAACAAACAAATATGTCCACTTTGAACGTTATTCGCTATGAGAGCTCACATGTTCTGCAGGACCAGAGACCTGACTATGCACGCACCAGTGTAACTGTACACAAAACCCATGCACAAAAACTAACACTACCAGTTATGGAGTTATGTTACCGAATGTCGTTAAGAGCTATTTTAGCAATTTTATAGATTTTAGCTTGAAAGTGTGTCTCTATACGCCTTTCACCACAATGAACTGCTTCATTATTCATAATGATCGACCCTTTGAGTTATAAAACTAGGCCTTTTTGTCAAATCAAACTACAAAAGACACTTGATTGAGTTGAGGTCTGGATATGCTAGCGAGGCGTTCAAACACGACAACAGCACGAAATGAAGACTTATTGATTGCGTGAATAACTATGAGTGGTATTCATTTTAAAACATTCGATAAGTGGGGCTGTGGTCACTTGAAGTATGTCTAGATGATGTCGAAAAGTACACTCGCCAACCAACTGGCAGTGATTAGTGGTAACGCCACACAGTTAATACTGTTTAGTGATAACGTTGTACAGTTAATACTGTTTAGTGATAACGTTGTACAGTTAATACTGTTAAGTGATAACGTAGCACAATTAATACTGTTTAGTGATAACGTTGTACAGTTAATACTGTTTAGTGATAACGTTGCACAGTTAATACTGTTTAGTGATAACCTAGCACAATTAATACTGTTAAGTGATAACGTTGTACAGTTAATACTGTTTAGTGATAACGTTGTATAGTTAATACTGTTTAGTGATAACGTAGCACAATTAATACTGTTTAGTGATAACGTTGCACAGTTAATACTGTTTAGTGATAACGTTGTACAGTTAATACTGTTTGGTGATAACGTGGTACAGTTAATACTGTTTAGTGAAAACGTAGGACAGTTAATACTGTTTAGTGATAACGTAGCACAGTTAATACTGTTTAGTGATAACGTTGTACAGTTAATACTGTTTAGTGATAACGTTGTACAGTTAATACTGTTTAGTGATAACGTTGTACAGTTAATACTGTATAGTGATAACGTAGCACAATTAATACTGTTTAGTGATAATGTTGCACAGTTAATACTGTTTAGTGATAACGTTGTACAGTTAATACTGTTTAGTGATAACGTTGTACAGTTAATACTGTTTAGTGATAACGTAGCACAGTTAATACTGTTTAGTGATAACGTTGTACAGTTAATACTGTTTAGTGATAACGTTGCACAATTAATACTGTTTAGTGATAACGTTGTACAGTTAATACTGTTAAGTGATAACGTAGCACAATTAATACTGTTTAGTGATAACATTGTACAGTTAATACTGTTAAGTGATAACGTAGCACAATTAATACTGTTAAATGATAACGTAGCACAATTAATACTGTTTAGTGATAACATAGCGCAGTTAATACTGTTTGGTGATAACGTAGCACAGTTAATACTGTTTGGTGATAACGTTGTACAGTTAATACTGTTTGGTGATAACGTTGTACAGTTAATACTGTTTAGTGATAACGTTGTACAGTTAATACTGTTTAGTGATAACGTAGCACAATTAATACTGTTTAGTGATAACGTAGCATAGTTAATACTGTTTGATGATAACGTTGCACAGTTAATACTGTTTAGTGATAATGTAGCACAGTTAATACTATTTGGTAATATTTTCACACAGCTAACACTGTTAATCTCTGTGTGACTGTAGACTCTGCACTCGATGACCCCCACAGCGGGATATACAGTAAGCAATGCGACATGGGGTATCGATCAGGGAGATGTGATCATATCAGCACTAGGGGTGTAAGTGTTATATGTCATTTAGTATGACCAAGTGTTATATGTCATTTAGTATGACCAAGTGTTATATGTCATTTAGTATGACCAAGTGTTATATGTCATTTAGTATGAGCAAGTGTTATATGTCATTTAGTATGACCAAGTGTTATATGTCTTTTAGTATGACCAAGTGTTATATGTCATTTAGTATGACCAAGTGTTATGTTCGACCAAGTGTTATATGTCAATTAGTATGACCAAGTGTTATAATGTCATTTAGTATGACCAAGTGTTATATGTCATTTAGTATGACCAAGTGTTATATGTCATTTAGTATGAGCAAGTGTTATATGTCATTTAGTATGAGCAAGTGTTATATGTCATTTAGTATGAGCAAGTGTTATATGTCATTTAGTATGAGCAAGTGTTATATGTCATTTAGTATGACCAAGTGTTATATGTCATTTAGTATGAGCAAGTGTTATATGTCATTTAGTATGACCAAGTGTTATATGTCTTTTAGTATGACCAAGTGTTATATGTCATTTAGTATGACCAAGTGTTATGTTCGACCAAGTGTTATATGTCAATTAGTATGACCAAGTGTTATAATGTCATTTAGTATGACCAAGTGTTATATGTCATTTAGTATGACCAAGTGTTATATGTCATTTAGTATGAGCAAGTGTTATATGTCATTTAGTATGAGCAAGTGTTATATGTCATTTAGTATGAGCAAGTGTTATATGTCATTTAGTATGAGCAAGTGTTATATGTCATTTAGTATGAGCAAGTGTTATATGTCATTTAGTATGAGCAAGTGTTATATGTCATTTAGTATGACCAAGTGTTATATGTCTTTTAGTATGACCAAGTGTTATATGTCATTTAGTATGACAAAGTGTTATGTTCGACCAAGTGTTATATGTCAATTAGTATGACCAAGTGTTATAATGTCATTTAGTATGACCAAGTGTTATATGTCATTTAGTATGACCAAGTGTTATAATGTCATTTAGTATGACCAAGTGTTATATGTCATTTAGTATGAGCAAGTGTTATATGTCATTTAGTATGAGCAAGTGTTATATGTCATTTAGTATGACCAAGTGTTATATGTCTTTTAGTATGAGCAAGTATTATATGTCATTTAGTATGACCAAGTGTTATATGTCTTTTAGTATGACCAAGTGTTATATGTCATTTAGTATGAGCAAGTGTTATGTTCGACCAAGTGTTATATGTCATTTAGTATGACCAAGTGTTATATGTCATTTAGTATGACCAGGTGTTATATGTCATTTAGTATGACCAAGTGTTATATGTCATTTAGTATGACCAAGTGTTATATGTCATTTAGTATGAGCAAGTGTTATATGTCATTTAGTATGAGCAAGTGTTATATGTCATTTAGTATGAGCAAGTGTTACATGTCCACTGGTATGACCAAGTGTTATATGTCATTTAGTATGAGCAAGTGTTATATGTCATTTAGTATGACCAAGTGTTATATGTCATTTAGTATGACCAAGTGTTATATGTCATTTAGTATGACCAGGTGTTATATGTCATTTAGTATGACCAAGTGTTATATATCATTGTGTATGAGCAAGTGTTATATGTCATTTAGTATGAGCAAGTGTTATATGTCATTTAGTATGGTTAAGTGTTACATGTCCACTGGTATGACCAAGTGTTATATGTCAATTGGTATGGTTAAGTGTTACATGTCCACTGGTATGACCAAGTGTTATATGTCAATTGGTATGGTTAAGTGTTACATGTCCACTGGTATGACCAAGTGTTATATGTCAATTGGTATGGTTAAGTGTTACATGTCCACTGGTATGACCAAGTGTTATATGTCATTTAGTATGACCAAGTGTTATATGTCATTTAGTATGACCAAGTGTTATATGTCAATTGGTATGGTTAAGTGTTACATGTCCACTGGTATGACCAAGTGTTATATGTCAATTGGTATGGTTAAGTGTTACATGTCCACTGGTATGACCAAGTGTTATATGTCATTTAGTATGACCAAGTGTTACATGTCCACTGGTATGACCAAGTGTTATATGTCAATTGGTATGGTTAAGTGTTACATGTCCACTGGTATGACCAAGTGTTATATGTCATTTAGTATGACCAAGTGTTACATGTCCACTGGTATGACCAAGTGTTATATGTCAATTGGTATGGTTAAGTGTTACATGTCCACTGGTATGACCAAGTGTTATATGTCATTTAGTATGACCAAGTGTTATATGTCATTTAGTATGAACAAGTGTTATATGTCATTTAGTATGACCAAGTGTTACATGCCCACTGGTATGACCAAGTGTTATATGTCAATTGGTATGGTTAAGTGTTATAGTCCCCGTGTTGCCTGAGAGTATGATGAAGGTGAGAATCTGTGAGTACTGTCTTACAGATAAATGTGTGTACTTTCGTATTCCACACTTAAGACTAACTTCTCTGCCCTTTCTTGTATTGTACTCTATCAGGACACGCCTTTCACCAGTGTGAATCAACATCATGAATCTACAACTGCTATCGTCTATTTTCGTGATATAATGATTTATCAAATAGAGAGTAATATATCTACTATATATATTGATATACCGACATGGATCCCCCACACACACACACACACACTTGATGTGTTTTTTGTCAGGTTCTACACAATTTTCCGTACGTAGTTATCCGGATGTTACTTTCGATTTACTCTTAACATGATGCGCCTCAACTTTCGGGTAAGTGGTTCGACCAGCGAGAAATTCAGGCGCGTTACGACCCACTGGTACTCAAACAGAGTATACTGTTGGAGGACCATTGTTGCATAAAGCACCATGAATAATCGAAGACGTACCTGTTGCAAATACAAAAATAGCTGTTACATGAATATTCAATACCTCGTGAACGAGATGACGAAAACTTGAGTCAATAAGTGGGAAATTAATATGTAAAGCCGAGCTTGTCAATACCTAAATGGTAATCAATGCTTACCACATATCACAGTCTCACTCATCAATACGTCATTGTTCAGTCAGCAGATGTAGTGTATTCGTGTCACACGTATGTTACAAAGGAATGGGTGGGGTGATCTGAATAATTGGCCAGCTATTTGGCCTTTTACAATATTAATCAGTCGTGTACATTTCAGTGAGACTGGTATGAGGGCACGGTGTTCACAGAGTTGCGTCCCTTAGCCATGTCGGGTACTCTGGCCATGGGTTCGAATCCCATCCGTTGACCTGCATTTTGGATTCTACATTTATTAACTGGGTGGGGGATGGGTAAGTAAATGGTTAAAAATGATTAAAAGTTGGACAAGTTTCAAATGAAATGAGTTCAGTGTTCTTTGAATCTGCATCTGCAAATGAGGCCATAGACACGTGTATTAAATAAGCATTTTCGCTGAATTAGGTAAGCGATTTCAGTTTCACTTTTGATTTTTGTGTGAACAAATTGTGATTTAGTATGAGAGTTGTCTCAAATGAAACAATCTTTACAACATTAGTTGTCTGTACGTTGTACTCATTACCGAGCTAACCATTTCCTCCACGGTGTTATTGATCTGGAGAGAGGCGCGTATTAGTGATACTATTTACCCCACCACAATCTCCATACCGTACCTTAACGAGCGTGCACATGTGCGGTACAACACGCACCTGCTTCCCAGCCTTCCGAATTGATTGATGGACATCAATAATTCAATCATCTAGCAAATCCAAAAGTTTAAATCGGAGATAAGTGGCAATGAAACTTCGATATTTCCATTTCAGCTTGTACATGCCTAATGGATATGAAACCATAATTTGTTTACAGGCACCCTCGACGACCCAGTGTAACATATGATGACTTTCTTGTAATATATATATATAACAGTAAGTCCTGGACCTCCTCAGCACAAATCCCCAATACCCCCTACTCAGCTCCTTTACATGGATGACCTTGAACTTATTGCAAAAGGAGACTCCACTCTAAAAAACCCAGATTCTCCTAGTCGAGTCCTTTTCCAATATTGGCATGTCCTCTGGTTTCGACAAAATGCAACATTCTTCACCTGAAACTGTGGCAAGGTAGAATCAATCAGTTTACTTGGGGGAGGAGTTATTGACCATCTCGTGGAAGGTCAGGCCTATACGTACTTAGGAATGCAGGTAAGAGACAAACTCCACAATGCCCATATCAAAGACAAACTTCGGACAGAATATAAACGTAGACTTAAGAAAAGCTGCAGTTCAAAGCTGAACGCTCGCAATAAAGACAAAGCCACAAAAACTTATGCTGTACCCGTCCTTTCGTATTCTTTTGGTGTTGTTGATTGGACGAAACAAGAAATTCAGGGTACTGACAAACAAATTTACACAAAGAATTATATACGACAATAGACCCCACCCTCGCTCTTCCCTCAACCGCTCATATTTATCAGTTATAATGGGAGGGCGTGGTTTGATTAACGTGGAGGCTCTTCATGATATATTGTATTGTGCACCTTTGCACACATTTATTTTTTTGATGATCCTCTTGTGACGCATTTCAAGACTCATGATGAACACAAGGCATTCCACAGTTTTCTTGGGTCATAATCTCAATGTCAATGTTGATTTTGTAAATGATTCTGTACTGCTGCACGGTAAAGATATGAAATCGGCCCAGACTAAGTTTTTCAGGATGAGGATTTCTGAACGACCACTGCATGGATTATCGAATTTATTTACATCAAAATGTACATATGAAATGTAGATTATGTAATGAATTTAATGCGACTGTCCAAAACATTTTCAGTGGATTCCCAGCTTTGGCACACACACAGTATCTTAAGCGAATGATGGGGTGACTCGATCCTTTAATTACCGTCTTCGCCATGCTTCTGGTTTTGACACAGAGGTCCATGCATGGTACGACCCGGAATATGTACAGGGCGTCATGGAGAATGATAAATACAAAATTCTTTGGAATAGGCCCGTATACAGTCTCAGACGTATCCAGGCCAACAAACCTGATCTTGTCCTTTTTGATAAATCCAATGAAATCATTTATATCATTGAATTTTCTGTCCCTTTTGACACTAATGTGATTGACAAGATTGAGGAAAAACATGGCAAATATGCGGACCTCGCTTTCGAAATGTCACGCTTGCATACCAAGTACCAAGTTGTCCGACTCCCGACTCGGTGCCTTAGGTTTGGTACCTCCCAATCTGTTGACTGACATTGGGAGAGTAGCCGGGTTTGCTATCCGGAATACAGTCCATCTGACAATCTGGGTAATGCAGAAGGCTGCAGTGTTGGGGAGTCTTCACATTCTCCGAAAAGTTCTGGGTGGGTTTGACTAGGCAGCGCTTCCTGGGAGAAGTCCCTATGAGCCTAACCAGCCTGACTGTGCCAGGATCACCCAAACCCTTTTTGCTGCATTTTTTATTTTACTCTGTAAATAATAATAATAATATAAACGAAGCTTACCATAATACAACGGATGTATAATAGACTGGACCATCGAGGATGGTTTAATGTGACGGTTGGGTCTTATTTTGTTCCTATGGGAAAACGTCAAGCCGAAGTAAAGGATATGATACACGTTAAACAATGTGATGAAACCCACGAGTGCAGGTATGCTGCTGGTCAGGAATCCGGAACTCGAACCATTGTCAGCGGTTCCTCGATCGGCCAAGGGACACAACACTGTCATCGAATTGCGACGTCTTAGACCACAGGCCACCTGGTCAGTACTGACGTAAAGGGGTGGTGTTAGGCACTCACGTGTATTTATCATCTCTGTAACCAAGATGGTTGGTTTTCTTACAGAATCGTCACGACAGGTTGTCTGGATAAACGGGTTTATGGTTTCCGTAAAAGAATAAATCCTATATACATGTTATACAAAGGAAAAATCAGAAGAAGTGAAAACAGCGTGGGCTTCTCTGTCACTTACCTCTCGAAATGCTAGTTAGCCTGTGTGGGTCACCTCACCGCGGAGCACCAACGATGGATGTTATACATTGTACCCTAATAGGGAATCGAACCAGGACCTCCGGTGTTACAAGTGATCGCCTTAACCGCAAGCCTACCCAATACAACCCGAGAACACTGTACAATCCGGACAACAGACATACTCACGTGTATTGTAATCACTACGAACCCTGACATCACACTTCTGTGTAGGATGCAAAACTAGACTAATCCTCCATCCGAGATCCGTCACCTCAGTCTCCTCACAACGTAACCTTTCCTCAATACAGGTCACATTGAGCACATCGTGAAAGCCGGCGAACAAATACCATGTGGCGAGTTTCCAGTGGCCAGACAACACTGCAATAGCACTAGAGTCCTGTTACAACGAGAAGCACTGGAAGCGAGTCCCATCTGCAAACCTGGCGGCCGGTCTTACCTGATCGAGGGGATCGATGGATGAAGCAAGAGACCGCCTCTGTGCATGGCATTCCTGTGCTGATATTTTTTTTATTGAGTACTGGAGTATCATTATCACGTTGTGTTCCATGCGGGCTGGTTAATTGTGATATGTGGCCCCACTGATGGATATGGCTGCATATGATTGTAAACTGACTAAACAGGGCACCTTCCTGGCTGATGAATAAAATATGATTACCGTCTATCGACGATAGGTTGTAGTGGGTTTTATAAGCTGCGCGGTCTGAAAATAGCAAGAACAAGGCTAGGTAATTGGGCCTAGGCTAATTAATTTTGGTGGGGGGTTTGTGACATAATGTATACGGTATGTGATTAGGGTTCTAGGATAACTTATAGGTTAACTCTCGGGTGCAAGTTTCAGTTAAAGTTAACACACGGGTATGAGATGCAGTTATAGGTTAACAGGGGGGATTTTGAAATTCAATTATTTGTTCCAGTAAATGACGATAAAAATAAGTAAGTTTCATGTTTTACAAAACACCAAATACGTGTCATCCACTGCATTATGGCTCCAATAAAAACATTTTTTTGTATTCAGAGAAAATAACTAGTGTTTCTTAAAGACACATTAGGTAACACACATCCTACAGTCCAGTATCCTGACAGCTCGAGCAGACACCATAGGCTTGACAGAGTGGGTGAGTGAGTGACTATGTCTGGTGTAACGCTGCATCGATTAGCATTAAATAATGCCACGCCGTGTCAGCTGGAACTGGGAGGACCGAGATTCCGGGTAACAACTGGCTCCCAGCAGCCTATGCTTGCCATACGACACAGCTAAAATGGATTAGATCCTCAGGTACGGTGACTTGTGGTTGATTGCGTGGCATCGTACCTCGATCGTGTTCAACATAACAACGACTGATTTCTATGGCCCAGGCTCGAATATTTACCGGCCGCTATGATGTGGCGTGCAGACTCAGCATAAAACAACACACACGCAAATAAACACAAATTTGAAGGCAAGCTTATGGTGATGTCAGTTGTATACGTTTTCCGATTTGGTGAACAACCTTATCGGGTATGGTACTGACAAACCAAGGTTCATAGTCAGGTCCCATCTGGGATTCAAACCCACGACCAGGCAACAGCGACCAGCGCCGCTATACATGACTACATCACCACACCCTCTAGGAATATACACAGGAATATACGAAGTACATCCATTGAATACATAAGCAAAGCAGTAGAACCCGTGAACGTTAAATATTGATCCGAGCATGAAATTTAACTTTGAACAACCATTAATTGTATCGATTTTAATAGTTTATGGGAACCGTTGCCAAGCTCATGATCTTTTAACTTTGAGATGTCTACTCCAGACTCGATTATCTACAGACCGTTGTCATATAGCGTGAAGATTGCTGAGTGCGGCGTTAAACAAAACAACAAGCAGAATTTTAACTTCGTTTGTTCAGACACAGTTTAACCCAGGTGAAGTAAAAACCGGGCACAGGTATATAAGTTTCATAGCAGCTGGACACGGAGCAGCTGGACACAGATATAAGTTTCATAGCAGCTGGACACGGATATAAGTTTCATAGCAGCTGGACACGGATATAAGTTTCATAACAGCCGGACACGGATATAAGTTTCATATCAGCTGGACACGGATATAAGTTTCATAGAACTGGACACAGATATAAGTTTCATAGAAACTGGACACGGATATAAGTTTCAAAGCAGCTCGACACGAATATAAGTTTCATAGCAACTGGACACAGATATAAGTTTCATAGAAACTGGACACGGATATAAGTTTCATAGAAACTGGACACGGATATAAGTTTCAAAGCAGCCGGACACAGATATAAGTTTCATAGCAGCTGGACACAGATATAAGTTTCATAGCAGCTGGACTCGAATATAAGTTTCAAAGCAGCTGGACACATATATGTTTCATAACAGCCGGGCACAGATATACGTTTCATAGCAGCTGCACATAGATATATGTCTCATAGCAGCTGGACACATTATATGTTTCATAACAATTGGACACGAGTATAAGTGTCATAGCAGCTGGACACGAATATAAGCTTCATAGCAGCCGGACACAGATATAAGTTTCATAGCAGCTGGACACATATATGTTTCATAGCAGCTGCACTTAGATATATGTCTCATAGCAGCCGGACAAAGATATAAGTTTCATAGCAGCTGGTCACAGATATATTTCATAGCAACTGGACACGGATATAAGTTTCATAGCAGCCGGACAAAGATATAAGTTTCATAGCAACTGGACACATATATAAGTTTCATAGCAGCCGGACAAAGATATAAGTTTCATAGCAACTGGACTCGAATATAAGTTTCATAGCAGCTGGACACGAATATAAGTTTCATAGCAGCCGGACACATATACAAGTTTCATAGCAACTGGACACGAATATAAGTTTCATAGCAGCCGGACAAAGATATAAGTTTCATAGCAACTGGACACAGATATAAGTTTCATAGCAGCTGGACTCGAATATAAGTTTCATAGCAGCTGGACACGAATATAAGTTTCATAGCAGCCGGACACATATACAAGTTTCATAGCAACTGGACACGAATATAAGTTTCATAGCAGCCGGACAAAGATATAAGTTTCATAGCAACTGGACACAGATATAAGTTTCATAGCAACTGGACACAGATATACGTTTCATAGCAGCTGGACACAGATATAAGTTTCATAGCAACTGGACACAGATATAAGTTTCATAGCAACTGGACACGAATATAAGTTTCATAGCAGCTGGACACGGATATAAGTTTCATAGCAGCTGGACACGGATATAAGTTTCATAGCAGCTGGACACGGATATAAGTTTCAAAGCAGCTGGACACGAATATAAGTTTCATAGCAGCCGGACAAAGATATAAGTTTAATAGCAACTGGACACAGATATACGTTTCATAGCAGCTGGACTCGAATATAAGTTTCATAGCAGCTGGACACGAATATAAGTTTCATAGCAGCCGGACACATATACAAGTTTCATAGCAACTGGACACGAATATAAGTTTCATAGCAGCCGGACAAGGATATAAGTTTCATAGCAACTGGACACAGATATAAGTTTCATAGCAACTGGACACAGATATACGTTTCATAGCAGCTGGACACAGATATAAGTTTCATAGCAACTGGACACAGATATAAGTTTCATAGCAACTGGACACATATATGTTTCATAGCAGCTGCACTTAGATATATGTCTCATAGCAGCCGGACAAAGATATAAGTTTCATAGCAGCTGGTCACAGATATATTTCATAGCAACTGGACACGGATATAAGTTTCATAGCAGCCGGACAAAGATATAAGTTTCATAGCAACTGGACACATATATAAGTTTCATAGCAGCCGGACAAAGATATAAGTTTCATAGCAACTGGACTCGAATATAAGTTTCATAGCAGCTGGACACGAATATAAGTTTCATAGCAGCCGGACACATATACAAGTTTCATAGCAACTGGACACGAATATAAGTTTCATAGCAGCCGGACAAAGATATAAGTTTCATAGCAACTGGACACAGATATAAGTTTCATAGCAGCTGGACTCGAATATAAGTTTCATAGCAGCTGGACACGAATATAAGTTTCATAGCAGCCGGACACATATACAAGTTTCATAGCAACTGGACACGAATATAAGTTTCATAGCAGCCGGACAAAGATATAAGTTTCATAGCAACTGGACACAGATATAAGTTTCATAGCAACTGGACACAGATATACGTTTCATAGCAGCTGGACACAGATATAAGTTTCATAGCAACTGGACACAGATATAAGTTTCATAGCAACTGGACACGAATATAAGTTTCATAGCAGCTGGACACGGATATAAGTTTCATAGCAGCTGGACACGGATATAAGTTTCATAGCAGCTGGACACGGATATAAGTTTCAAAGCAGCTGGACACGAATATAAGTTTCATAGCAGCTGGACACATATATGTTTCATAACAGCCGGACAAAGATATAAGTTTCATAGCAACTGGACACACACGGATATAAGTTTCATAACAGCTGGACACGGATATAAGTTTTATAGCAGCTGGACACACGTAATAATTCCATAGGGCCGGACACAGACATAAGTTTCATAATATCATAGTAACAGTAACATCAGTGCCCGACACAGCACTACTCTCTGCGAACTCCGTCGGGGTGAAATCCAACACTATAACATACGGGCACAGCCCCTCACACCGATCTTACGGCCGCGACTGTCGTAGTCCATGTTAAACTATGTGAGCTACGATCGTCTTAGCACTAACGTCTCTTTGTGAATCGGGTATCAGTTGAGTTCTACTATACAGGGTCACATTCACAATTATCTCTACACTTATTTTCCCCCGGGATTCTTTTCACGTCTTAACCTCTGTTAAACTCTATTTTTCCACTCCGGTCAAAGGTACGATGGTAATTCAACTAAGTGAAATGAATCAGAAATATAATAATATTATATGCCACGTTAGAAATTTAGTGTATGAAAACAGAGTGCCCAGCAAAAGAAAATATATACCCATGTTTGATGGTGGCTTAAAATTAAACAAACAAGATATGGTTAATTGATGGTGAAGTATATGATACGGGTATCACAGATGCGTTTTGGACCTTACGTTTGCAGTGTTTCGGCGAATGTTGACAAGCCTAAACACATTTTGATATCGTTTGGTCTAATCCAATTTCCAGGTGTATACTTTCCTTTGCCGGGCAGTTTGCAGACCCAAAGTTGATTTTAGTTGCGTTTGGTATAGTTTTCCTTCACAGGTAGGTAATTCATTCACCCTCAAACACTGTCTGTCATTAAAAGGTCGAGGTATCTCTATCCGTTTTTCGTGTGATGGGATAGCCTAGCGCTTAAAGCGTTTGTTCGTCACGACGAAGATCCGGGTTCGATTCCCCATATGGGTACAATGGGTACCATTTCTGGTGTTCCCGCCGTGATATTGCTGGAATGTTGCTAAAA